ATATCCATCATGCGCAGCAGTCTGAAAGTACACATTCACAGATTAACATATCAATTACAAATAAAACATCCTGATTATGCCTTTAAATGAAATCATTTGAAGCTAGACACAATGATAGTACATCATTTAGCTTTATCATAATACATGTTGCTTTATTATAATTGTAGCTTTAACAAAACAAGAAATCTGTGAGCCAATCATGAATGCTCAATAGTGATATAACCAACCCCCCCCCCTTTTTTTTTTGATGTAAATACACAAGTCAGTTAAAAATAACTGTGCTATCATCATGATCATTTGACAAGAAGTTGACATAACATTTAAACAAAAATGAATCCCAGTAATGTATTCCAGAGTTAGTTACGATACTTGTATACAGTATACATTATTACAATGTATATGGGAATAACATATATACATATATTGCAATTACAGCAATTCTGCAAAACTCCTTCATAGCAAATTTCAAGGGACCAAAGAAAGATCTTCGCTATAATCTTAATTCATTATATGTTAAATATAGTGAATTCATAAGAAATCCTATACCGAATTTATTATAAAACAGTCAGCTAACAGTACTTCAAACTATTGTATGTTATATAATCGATATCACCCTCAGTTGCAAAAATTGTCGATACCTTTTCACTTCCTTAGATGCACAATTAAAGAATTTAGTGTATAATATTTAGATTTGAACATTTAAATATTATCTAACCAATGCATTTGAAATGTCAGAAAATAATGAAACCTGCCATATATATTCATTCTTTAGCTTCATAATCATATCCATGCTACCGGATACATCTGTAACAAATTAAAAATAGAACCGATGAAATAAAGATTTTATTTCCAGAACAATTTGTTTAATTGTGGCAAATATATATGATTTACATACATGGTGACTCACAAACATATGGAGTATTTATTGATGACTCGGGTGTCCACAACTCAAATTTATTATCAACATGAACAATATCATTAAAGGATCCATTAAATTTCTGAGTTAACAATGCTAATGTAGTGTCATCTGCATCTTCATCGAACTCCTCATCATGGATCTTAAAATCTTATGTATATTTAATGAAATTTGTAATGAAAAATATTTGTTATACTTAAATGAAAAAAATGCATTAAAATATCTTAAAATTACTTCGTTATAGCCATAAATTTGTTATATATAGCCATGTTCGTTACATACAGTGATGTTCTATAGGTTTATATAAGGACTTTGCTGGACATGAATAAAAGTTCGCTATCTGTATCTATGTTTGTTAAATTTGAGTTTTGCTGTATATAGGAATTAGAATTTCAAGCATCTGCAATTAGGCCAAATAAAAAAAATATGTGTGGTTCTGGTTACTCGACCTTCTCTATTTTATACCCCCGACCCTAAACTTTTTTTTGGCAATTTTCATATTTTTTCCGGAATTTCCCCCGATTTCCATCAATGGCTCCAGTTTAAGTTTTAGTTTCAACAATGACGGCCTCCTTGCAAAACATAGTGCAAGTGTTTAATAGTGTTAAATCAAAAGCAAGCTAGCATGTAGGTGTCCCCTACCAATATTGACTAGTATATTATCACACCACATCTAAATGCCATTTGTAAAGCAGTGATAGGTATTATTTAGAAAAAAAATTAAGAAAATCATTTTGTTAAAAAAAAAAAAAAAAAAAAAAATCTCTACCTACCTACCCTAATTTTTTTGGTAGTGTAACCGGAACCATACATATTTTTTTTGTTTGGGCTTAGCAGTTGCTGAGAACTGTGACGGAAATTCGTTATGGACAAAAACATGCATGCACAGACAGACAGACAAAAACGGTATTATACTGCCCTCTCATTCTGAAGGGACCTAGCCGGGGTATAATTATTCGGCCTATAAAAAATGTTTTGTTTGGTAATGAATTCTAGCATTCTTTTAATTTCAGCTATAGAAATAATGAAATAAAACTTTTGGACATTAATTCTATTTTAGTAATACAGTACATTTGTGTATCTCTATAAAACCCCCTTACTCCTTCACTTTCGGGAAACTGTGAGCTGTTAGTAAACAAATGCGATTGTGATGTCATTTTCTACATGCAGAAAAACTACAAAAAATCAAATGCCGAGAAATTAGTACAGTCAAGTTCAAGAATGCGATAAAAAAACATTAAATAACAATTACACTTGATCTATTGTATCTATCATATTTTATGTGAAATCAGCGAATACTTTTTCCTTTATCAGTGAGTGTTTATGCACTATTCCATGCGCTATTCCTCCGACATGTGCGTTAATAGCGAGCGCAGCGAGGCGGCGCAAAGCGCCGCTCACGTAGCGAGCTCCATAGACAACGTGTACGAACGGAGGAAATTCGGGTTGAAATCTGCACATTGTTCAAAGAAATTTTTATCGTTCCATGTGAAAATATTCCATACTCCCAATAATCCTTTGCGGTGCATAGCAACATGGTGGCATAAGCATAGCAACAACTTACTTGATAACATTAATAAATAACGAATTAATTCAATTTCCATGTGCCGTAATTACCCACAAAACTATCGCTTGCATCTCTGGTAAACACGACTTTGTATGTGAGGTCATATTTTTGTCACTTCAACGACTCGGGTATTTCCAATTTTGTCGGAAATATCTGAGAAGTTAGGAATTTCGATCCCAATGCATTGGGAGTCTGCAACGTTAAAGAATATGTACGTCAATAACGGTTTACAAAAAAAAATTATGTACGATACTCAGTAAACGCGCGATAAAAGTGTAATAAGCAATGTAAAACGACATTTGAGATGTGTTGAGTTTTAGAAAATGAACTGCGCTCGCACTAACGGTTTCATCGTCGGACATATTATGCTCATTTTTACATGCCAGTCATTTTTATGAAGGTTTTAGCCAAAGGATTACCATGACATACCATATTGAATAGTTATACGGCTAAAAATATTTGATTTTTCGTCTCAAATTGCCCCAATATGCTACGTTGGATATAACATAGTGTGACGTTCATACATATACGAGTCATCTATAAATATTGAAGGTCATCATGGTCATGTTGCACATTTTTTAGTGTTGATGTAGCTGCAGAACTGTAGCTCTCCGAAAAAATATATATTGACAGACCGGAGACTGGTCGTCCATCCCAATTGTTTCAGACCAGCGAGCTAGATTTTGCAGCTAGTGTTGATGTACATGTAAATAATGACTTTTTCGCCATCTTTTTTTTCTTAAACAGTATGTTTACCTGCTTGACCTTGAGCATGCTGAGGTGCCCTTTTCTTTCCTTTCTCAAATGTCTTGCATTTTCCCCAATAATTTCATCGATGTATGAATCCGATGGTTCTGGTGAATCGAAACTATTCCATGAGCATGATAAGGATCCATCCTCCTCACTAATTTCCGATAGTTGGCCTGTCCGACATGTTTGGTGCTGTTTGGCGGGCTTGGAATATTCGCGATGCTGCTGCCTGATTTTGATTGGCTAATTTATAATTATGTATAGCGTGCGCGTAGAGAGAAAAATCATTTTATTTTAGATAGGCCTATTTGATTTTTTTAATTATTATTTCTCAAACTTTAAAAGGAAAGAAAATTAAAAAAAAGATTTTGATTTAAATTTTTTTGGAAGGGCAGATAACTCTATTATATATAAAAAAAAAAAAAACTGAGCCTGAGGTGTAAATGATCATGACATATTGATGATTTTTTTCCTAATATTTAATTAGATATGTTAAGTAAATAAGATTAAAGTCGTCTTTAAGAATTTTAAATATATGAGCATTTATAGATAAATACAATAGTAAATAACAATCTATGATTATTAAGAGTGTAGCACAGTCCAATTTTTACAAAATTCGATATTTGCAAATACAGCAGCGACCTCAGTATAAAGTAAAATCTCTTTCGAATTAAATCTCTCTCTCTCTCATGATATTCTCCTGAATCAAACGTTATATAAAAAATTCAAATATCTTTATTCATTTGGTTCATAATAAAATTGTTAAAATTTCAGGGTTGGCACCTGTTTTTAAAGTATGTTCTACCAATATTTTTGATGAAAGTGGTCTATCGCCAGAATACTTGAATAAGTAGTAAGTCTTGCGTCATTCTCAAATTAATTTTTGTACGTTCAAAGATCTGATTGAATTAATATTTTATGCAATGCGTTAAGTAAAGGCTGAGAGAGAAAGAAAGAGGGATGATCCTTTGAAACTGGAAAATTTGGCTACCAAACGAGATCGAGTAGGTTTTAGAATAAACAGCATCAAAGTAAACAGAACAATTTGATCCAGTTTCATAAAACATTTTTTTTTTCGACAAATCTAGATCTAGTACTACCGTACTAATAATGTACATTGTCAATATTAAATTATTTCAGAGTTAATAAAAAGCCAAACAAAAGCGATATATATAGGATGCTTTAATGTAAATGTTTTTGTCTTTTTGCGATAATAAATATGTAAACAATATTTATTCTGTATAAAATAAAAAAAAAATATTGACACATTATTTATCACATATATAAAATACAAAAAAACATACTTAAACTTAAAGTATAAGCGGATTTACTTTTACATGTCGATTTTCTTAAACGAAACGTATAATTTCTTCTATTAAACTATATTATTCTCGATGTTTTTTGCATTAAATCTGATTATACTTATTTGAAAAATGTAGTAAATTATATCACAATATATTATATATATAATGTAACGTTATACATAAATTAAATTCAAAACAAGAAATTTAATTAAGTAAACAAATTTATTAAATTATATTAAACGCAACTTTTCATGCAGTGTAAATAAATAAAAATAAATGAAAAAAATGAATAAATTAAAAAAAAATGAATACTCAAATAAGAATATACAACCTACGTTTAAAGAAAAGCATGTACATGCAATTTTACTAAAATCATACATCTATGAATGCTTACAATATTTTTCTTCCACGTTAGAATGTATCAGTAAGTATATCTACTTTCCTATTACAGTTTACGATAGATATGGCTACCGCCCAAGGACAGGGCTTCATTTGTTGTCAGCTTTGCCCAAATCTTGTGGAACATCACTGCAATCTTTGCAATGTGGATCTATGTCTCTCATGCATACCAAATCACATGGCCGACAAATCAAAGAAACACGAGGTTGTCGCATACACTTACAGAGAGGAAAACACTTTTATTCTTCCAACATGTTCATTGCACAATAAAAATCGATGCGAGATGTTTTGTCAAAGATGTAAAGAAGCAATATGCATTCAATGCCTGATGGATTCACATAAAAATCATGAATATGCTGATATCACAGAGATTCTTCAAAACATTAAAAAGCAAATTCTAGCTGACACAAAAGAACTAGAAACTATTATTGTTCCAAAATATAAACATGCAGAAGAAAAAACTATTGATGCAGAGTTCGATAAAGTCATCTCTGACATAGAAATACATGAAGAAAAAATCTGCCAAGCTGTAAGTGAAGTATGCATTCAATTCAAAGCTGAGATAGCCAAGCAGAAGGAAGAAGCTGTGAAAAAGAGTGAAGAAGACCTGGAGGAGATAGTAGAAACTGAAGAAGAAGTCAAACAAATAATTCAGAAAAACAAATATATCCTTAGAAGTAATGATTCCTCAGCCATAATAAACTATCAATCAAAAAATAGGGATTTTCTTACAAGCCCAAAATTTATTACACCTTGCCAAGAGGTATTTCTTGATTGTGTTAAACAAGGCCAAATAGTCGGAATGTTTGGTTTTCTAAAATTCGGTAACGACTCGATAAGACAGCGTAGGATGCTTGAGATGATGGATAATCCAGAATTAGTAAGCACAATCCAAACCCCCTATGACAAGGAGAATCCCCTATGGAGATTGCTTTGTGTGGGGAAGTATAAGTTTATGATTAGTGGAAGAGAAAAAACATTCCGACTTATAGACACATCTAGTTCCATTGTACAAAAAATCCATATCCGTGGAATCGTTTTTTCATTGACTTGCAATTTACAAGAAGAACCAGTGTTTTCTCTAAGTAATGCTACTTCTAAACATACAAAAATTTATATTTATAAGAAGAACAAAGTAAAGATTTTACTAAGAATTCCTGACTGGTGTCCGGTTGGTCTATGTTATGCAGAGAACGGGGATCTAGTGGTGAGCATGCGCTCAAAGGATGAGATTCAGAGTCGAGTAATTAGGTACTCATTGCTGACAAGGATTCAGAGGATGCAGTATGACAGTAAGGGACAACCTTTGTTTTCTACTGGTGTTTTCACTGGGCTTCAACTGACTGAGAATGGTAATAGAAATATCTGTGTTGCTGACTATGCTGGGGGTGCAGTTGTTGTGATAGATTCTTCTGGGGGATTACGGTACAAGTACAAAGGAAATCTATCCAAACAATCAAAGTACACAGACTTTAGACCATGCGAGATTGTTGCAGATGTCAATACTCAAATACTGATTTGTGACCAATCAAACAACATTGTTCACATAACCGATTGTGATGGTAACTTTGTCCGTTATATCGAATATCCGTGTAATGGAGGAATGAGTATTGATATGGATCACAATCTAGTCCTTGGAGACTCTAATTCTGGAAAAATTCAATTTATAAAGTATCTGGAGTGACAAAGTTTAATATGATATTTAAAAGAAAAAGACAAAAAAAGTTTATTTATATGTAGAAGCTTATTAAATGGTACATATTTTACTCATAGGGGATATCATTGTTACATTTTTGCTGAATGCTTAAACATGTTATTTATTCATGATTTAACTTTTTCATCTTGTACCTAAGCCTTTACATTGTGTAGAGTTCTCTAAAGGTTTTTTTCCCACATAGCATGACTACGTTGGGCCAACGTTGGGTTTTGGTAGGGTAGTTGGTAGAGTGTTGGCATTGGGGAACAAATGTAGGCCCAATGTTGGTACAACATTGATCTACGTTGGCATGAAAGCTAAACCAACGGTGTTGGGTATGCGATGTTGGCCCAATGTTGGTCCATTGTATTAATATATTTCAATATTGTGAAAAGTGTCATTCATCAAAAGTTTATTTATTGTAAATCGATGGTAATGTAATAAGAGACTCAATATAAACATTGACCTATTATATTGAATAGAAAATCATGAAACAAACTTTATAAGTCTGTGAATTGCATATAGTAATTTTGTATCTTGGTAAATTCTATTTAAGCATCATTGAATTAAAGTTATGTGTTTTAGAGCTCCAAAAAATAGGTCAGTCGTGAAATTCACTGGCTCGGCAGGTTACTCATGGGTATCCAAGGAAATGGGCATCTTAATCAGTTTTTTTCACAAGCCATAATGTATCGCATTTAAACAAAGCATATGTGTCTGTTAGTGATCGCAAAAATTCTAACCCTAATTGAAATGTAAGTACGCAGCACAGTTAAGGCTACAAAAAGAGGGCGGAGCCTAATTTGTACGAGAAATTAATTATGACATCATACAAAACCAACAATTCTTAAAAATACCACATAATGAAATGATTTGCTATTTTAAACTGTAGGAGACCATCAAACTACATCAAAACTTACTGCAACATGCTGTTTTGTTGTTAGTTAAATCCCACATAACAAGATATTAACAAGTCACCAATGCACTGTCAATATGACGTCATATCGTAAAACTTGACGCAGTTTGTATGCAGTGAGTGGCGGACCAAGTAATATTTTCTCAACGAAAAATGTATTCTATAATTAAATAAGATATTATTTACAGATATTTCATAGGCCATTAACTGAGATTCAATATCTTCTTTAAGATTTTTAGCTCACCTCAACAAAGTTGTATTAATATATTTTCCGTACATTTCATATTTAATTGATACTGCCGTATTTTTGTATGCAAGTGCATCGGAGGGTAATGTAAGGGTCTTGATAAATCGATCTAGTGCAAGGGCATACACGCAATGGATCATAGGGAGCATTTAGAAATCAACTCTAGAAGTATTAAGGTATCTGAAAAGTGCTGCGATCCTGATGAAATCTTGAAAATAATTTAATTATATCTATATTTAATGCCGTTGACCAGCAAAAAATACAGCATGCGGTCATACAAATACGATTTTAACAATGAAATAGCAGAATTTATATAGGATCGCAGCACTTTTCAGAAACTACGATGCGTGTTGAAAATATTTATAAACTAAACTTAGAATTTTAACTTGGTTATGCCCTTGCAATGGTAAAATTTATAGGTTTACTTCAATACTGCAAATAAAATCAAGTGAGTGCCACATCACGTGACAAGTCTAATTACGAAATCTAATCGTCCTCAATATATAATTAATAAACATAATTACATTTGTCAGATATAAACAATGTACTAAAAATAATCGCCATCCTGATTATGAATACATTATTAATCGCAAAAACTTGACGATATTTCCATTGCACACCTTAACTGTACTGCGTATAGTTTTTGTATTTGTTATTCATAATTAATAATGTGAAATTCAAACTAAGATTGCTTGAAAATATATAATTATGTGTTTCAAAATTGTAACAGCCTGCAAGCTTTCAATTATTTTTGATGATTAAACATTGGGAAAAAAATATTTGAATTGATGACGTTCTTAACGTTTTTAGGAATTGGCGGGATGGAAAAGCCCTCTATATCATGAGACCATTAATGTGACATTTTCCTCATATGGAAGGAACTGATGAATATGTGTGGGAGACATGGATTCTAGAAACAGAAAAAAAAGACAGAAAAGAGGAATGAATAATTCAAATGTGGTCTCCCTAAACTCACGTTCCTTTGTTTTAGGTCACCTGAGTCACTCATGTGGGTCACCGGAGTCACTCAGGTGACCTATTGTTATTTTCCACAAAGTATCCTTGGGTATCATTGGGAGAATGGGGTTTAGGTTCGTTCCAATGAAGGTTAGTGTCCCCTTCCAAGGGCTGATAAAAAAAGGCAAAAATAGGGGAGGTGAATCAAATAGCTTCTCCTCTAGAACCACTGGGCTAAAAGAGGTGAAATATATATGAAAGATTCATTTCTTTTTTTTTCAAATCATGATCTTTAGGGGAATTATAGTGTTTACTTTCTTGAAAAAAGGTCAGATATACATAAAATATTCAATTTCTGATGAGTTAGAGTAATTATCCAAATTGAATATCTTACACTGGTGGCTTAAGAGCATTGATTAAGTTTAAACAGGCCAAAATGAATATTGCATAGCTTGTAAAAGAAGATAGAATAACTTTATTCAACTGATAATACAGGGGTAATGCTGAATGTAACGATGATGCGTTGCTGCAATTTTTTTACTGTATTTATCGTTATAAATACTCGATAATTGTTATAAAATAAAAATTCACTCCAAATGTTACCTGTAAATGGGATCAAATATATATGGCATTTCGTGTAATTCATCATACAAACAACTGTCCAAGGATAAAGTTTTTGTGACATCCTTTACAGACAAATGAGATTAAATGTTCCCTCGCACTCACAAAAGCGGGGAATGAAAAGGGTAATTAAGCCCTGATAGCTGATGTCCAGGTAGAGCATGTGTACCCCATCTGTGTGTATGTTTTCAAATCTATCAAACAATGTGATGGATTTTGCAAGTACCTAATTATAAATAATGTGTTCCTAACAAAGTGTTGACAACATAAAACCTGATCATTGGGTCTGCACCAACCAAGGGTGTATTACTCTCCTTAACTTAAGAGATTTAAAACTGGTTACATTATACTCAGGTGACCGTTATGCCCATGGGCCTCTTGTTTATTATATTCCTTTTTTACGCAGAAGTTTTAAGATAAACTCACTTGATTTTTTTTCTACTTACTGTTATTGTTAAGTTTTAAATACGTATATACTTATAAAATAACAGATGATATTCAATTATTTAATTTGGAAATAGAATTTATATCAAATATGGGATATGGTTTTATTAGCTCACATGAGTCAAATGACCAATGAGTTTTTCCGATCGAAAAGTATCCACTGTCCCTTTGTCTGTCTGTCCGTCTGCCATGTGTCGTGTGTCACCTTTAAACTTTTAACATTTTCAACTTCTTCTCTGAGCCAAATTCAACCACAACTGCCATAGAAACACGTTCGTAAAAGGGATTCAAGTTTGTTCAAATGAGTAGCCATGTTAAGGATAGATAATTAAGGAATAATAAAAATTTGGTGGCAACATTTAAAAATCTTCTTCTTTAATAAACTACTGGACAGAAATGATGAAACCTATGTGAAAGCTTCCTGACAGTGCACGTCATAACCTAAGGGGGAAAGCAGGGTCACAAGAAGCTATTAATTTGTACAATTAATGTGCTGAAAAGTTTTAAAACATTCTTCTGAAGGACATTGGGGTCATGAAAAGTAATTTTGATAAGCAATAATCCTCGGATAGTCGGATTCATTTTTTTTTCCAAATCATTTTCTCCTGTCATAGGGAGGGCCAAATTAGAAGAATAAAGTTTTAAATGTGAATATACAATTGTTTAGGACGAGTATTAGAAAAACTCACTTTAATATGATCATTGGTAGTGATTTTATATACAAGAATTTTTACTTTTTGCAGATTGAAATTTGTTCAAATTCTAGTTACGTAAGAGTGAGACCACAATATATTTTACATAGGAATGAATAGGAATTTTTCTTAAAAAATAATTCTTCAATGAACGTCAAGGTCATGATCAGCGATTTTATGATGTCAGCATCTTAAGGTAGTGCGTAATCAAATTTGTTCAACTCATATCCCTTGGAAGATGGATTTGGTCACAATGGAGGACCTAACTTACATACGAAATATAAAGGGAAAAAAATATTTATAAAGTAGAATGTGTTTGGTCATGGCTAGTCATATAAATATGCAAACATCCTCAGAAAGTGCAAATTCATATTTATTACCTATAGGTAGGGTCGAACCACAATGAGGATGGATTTTTTTAAAGGAAATGTCTAAAGGTTTAATTAAAAAAAATAATAAAATAATTATCAGAGGAACATTTTCCCTAGTAGCGCGAATGATGAAAACCCACAAGGCCGAGGTTACTCAGGTGAGCGTTAAAACACATAAACCTCTTGTTTTATTTATTCCCGAATGTAAAGCAAAACTGAAATACATCCTGTTTTTTAAGCTAAATAAATTCTATGTAAATAAATTAAAAAAAATTGTCTAGCACAATTTCCTTTTTTTTTTTTTTTTTTTTTGTTTTTTGTTTTTTGTTTTTTTTTTTGTTTTTTTTTTTTTTTTTGTTTTTTTGGTTTTTTGCCGAGTTATGGCATAGCTGAGTGACTCTGAGATGAACTAGCTGAGAGACTTTGATATTGAGAATTTTTAAACATTGATTAGTTGCAGCAGCAGAAGGAAACGCTTGCTGTGGCCTTCAACTCGACATCAGGATATTTCGAGAACGTATTATCAATTAACAATAGTTACTTTCATTCATAGGTCGATTCGATATATCCAAGTGAACCTGAAATAAAAGACACAAAAGAGTCTGACACATCTGTTTCATATTTCGATATTTTACAAGGAAAAGACGCAAATGGTAATCTAACAACAAAACCTTATGATAAACGGGATGACTTTCATTTTTTCTATCGTCAACTTCCCTTACTTATGTAGCAATATACCC